GAAGTAAAGATGTAAAGCAAGAAGTAAAGACGGTTAACAAGAAATCAAAACTCACGAACAAACCGATACTTCTTGCTTTACTACTTACTGACTTCTTTTATTCTTTTTGTCCAAGTTTTCTTATGTCTACTTGTTCAGTAGGAGAAAAGAAAACAACTAATAAGTTCCAAAAACTTACCATTTGGATCTTGTTGAGCTCTTAGATGCAACTGAATCACATCATCACAAACATGGCCAAAGTCTTTCCTCCTTTCCTTTTTTCAATCGAGCTACTCTTCTGAGAAGTAAATGTGCAGTCACCTTCAATATGAAATTTGTAAACTTAAATTCACCGCTAAAAGAAAAAACAGGAAAAAAAACAATTGTTGACAACATACCTTAACCATTTGTTTATCTTACACAATTCTGATTTAACTCTACTAATTCTCTGTAACAACCCTTCTGGAGACAGAAAGTATTAACAACCTTAGGAAAAGAATTTTTTCCCTAATAGTTTTTCATGTGAACATCCCTCCTCACGATCCTGCCATTTGCTAGGCTTAAATCTTATCCTTTACTTGGAGACTGCACTATACCAGCATGGCTAAAATGCCATTTTCTTATAACTGATATGATACCTAAGACATTTGAAAAAGAAAACACACATATCATATCATTGATAAATAATACAATCGAGCATGAATGACAATTAACACAAATATGGAACTCATATAAGTTTAAGTTTTAAAAAATCAAATATGCATATAAGGTTGTTGAAGAGATGAGTAAAGGATATTGTTAATTGAATCATAAAATAATAAATCAGTTGAAATCAAGACTATTCTTTTTCACTTTCAAGGTCGGAGCTTTATTTTCTATGACTTCTTGAATTACAGATTACACATCACAATGCTGAACAGTTATGTATGCGCTTTGGATATTCACTACTTTATCTCTTCTAGAACAACCACTTCATACAGCTAATGCATGACTGAAATTTCATGGCTTATTAAAACACCCGTTGTTAAGATCTCCATTATTCCACTCTAATCCCCCAAAGATAATTCAGAGTCAAATGAAGAGAACCCACATTTTGGAATTGGTAATGCAACGAAACTGATAAATTTCAGTAGTTACGGAAAATTAAATTTGCATTTTTAATAAAAGATTCTGGTTTCTTGCAGGGGGATTTATGGGCATGAACGATAGTAGGTTTAAGAACCTTAAACTCAGTTCTACATATGGAAGAATCTCTATTGAGAGAAACAACAACTCGAACCTGCAAGGATAAACCTAATTAAGTAAAACAAACAAAACTAGAACTAAGCGGGTGAGCATAAAATATGACAATTACCCGAAAGATGGAAGAATTAGCCATGATCAATCGGATGATCAGAATTACTCTCTCAGAGTGTGTGTGGTTAGACATAAAGAAAGTGGGAGGTATATGATCAGCACCTGCATAGAAACCTCAAGCATATACACAACCACATGTTTGAAAGAAAAGCTGCTGTCAAAGTAAAGATTGTACTAAAGTTCAACTGTAAAATTCATACAAACAGAAATATCTAAAGTTCTACTGTAAAATTCAATGTAAAGTTCAACTGTAAAATTCATACAAACTTCATTTTGTGAAATTTAGATAATATAAATAAAGAGAATATATATTCTTCACCAATTTCCAATTCAATAATTTCAAAAACCAGCAAACATTAAGATTTAAATGACCAGCGATTCAGCCAAGAACATAAGTCAAGCAAGTCAACTAAGCAAGTCAGTCAAGCAATCAACCAAGCGAATCAGCTATTCATTAAAATTATGCAGCCGCAACCCTATAGATTGCTCAAAACCAATTAACACAAGAAGATTTAAAAAATATATATACTGAAGATTAAAGTTACCTGTAGCAAGAAGGTAGAACAAGAATCTTAAACCCCGCTGGTAGATGGATCGAGTGAGAGGAAACTTAGCCGAGCGATTGAGCGAGCGAGAGACCAATAGTGATCGAGCGATTGAGCGAGCCAAGGGCCAATAGTGATCGAGCGATTGAATTCTCTGAGAATCCTATTAATTAGAAGAATCGAGCAGGTGGCGTCGAACCGCGCTTCAGACTCCTTTGCCGCCGGTAAAGGTAGGGAGTTGAAGTTCAGAGATAGAGATTAGGGCAAATAAATTAGCGGGGTTTGTTTTTATTATTACCTAAAGCCCGCTGCTAAGTGTACGGTGTACCAATTTTAAGAGAGAAAAAAAAGAATTCGGGTTGAAATTTAGGCGGTATACTTTTTATTTTTGCAAGGTTTAGGCGGCATACCTTTTTTTAAGGATTTAGGCGGCATACCTAAAACGTAGTTTTCAAAAGAGCTATTTCCCTGGATTGTTTTAAAAAATACGGAGTACTACGGTCTAAGGAGTGTATGTGGAAAAAAATAGTACGGAGTAATAACGATGGACATAGATTGATTAATAACGACGACACTTCAAATATTGTCGTTATTGATAAATTTAATAACGACCAACTCAATAGTTGATGTTAAAAGATACTTGTAACGACGAAATGTGAGAGTCATCGTTATATATTGGTCGTTAAAAAACATTTTTCTTGTAGTGAGCGAGAGCTGTCCGGACATCCCGCCCAGTCAGCATCAGAATAGGCTATAATAACAGAGGTAGTCCGGTCAGAGCGGAGCCAGAGGCCGTGAGTTGCTGTACCCTGCAAATATCTGTAAATTCTCTTGACAGCTAAAAGGTGAGAATTACGTGGAGCATGCATAAATTGAGAAACCAGATGAACAGCATATGTAATGTCAGGTCTAGTTATAATTAAGTACTGAAGTGCACCTACCATACTGCGATACTCAGAAGCATCAGCTAAAAGTTCGCCATCTGTGAGAGAGAGTGTAGTGCGTGAGGGAAGTGGAGTACGCACCGGTTTGACAGTATGTAGATGAAAACGATGTAACAGATCAGAAATATATTTGGTTTGTGACAAAAATATCCCAGTGGAAGTGCGATGAGCCTGAATGCCTAAGAAGTAGTGAAGGTCACCCAGATCCTTCATGGCAAACTGAAGAGATAATGTATGAATAACTGATTTAACAAACGAAGTAGACGAGCCTGTAATGATAATATCGTCAACATACAAAAGAATATAAACGGTCTGGGACTGTGAACGATAAATAAACATGGACGAGTCTGACCTGCTCTGGGAAAAACCATGACTCAACAGAAAACCACTAAAACAATGAAACCAGGCCCGAGGGGCCTGTTTCAAACCATACAGAGCCTTACGGAGACGACAAACATGATTAGGAAAAGAAGGATGAACAAAGCCCTGTGGTTGACGCATGTACACTTCTTCTGTGAGATAACCATGTAAGAAAGCATTTTTCACATCGAGTTGTCTAACAGACCAACCTGAAGATATAGCAACAGACAAAACAAGACGAACGGTAGTGGGTTTAACAACAGGGCTGAAAGTTTCAGTGAAATCAATGCCAGCTTGTTGTTTAAAACCCTGAGCAACTAACCGAGCTTTATGACGCTCAACAGACCCATCAGAAAGATATTTTGTCTTGTAAATCCACTTACATCCAACTACATTTTTAGTGTGATCCCAAGGTACCAAATCCCAAGTTTTATTATAAATATAAGCATACGGCACCCATTAGGGTGTGCCATTACCTCCTAAACTCTATTGTTTGTATATGGTATCAGAGGCTAGGGTTATCTAACCCTCTCTACCGATCCTATGGCCGGCCACCACACCACCGCCGCTGCCAGTATGCCCTCCCTTCCTACTTCGGAACCGGCGCCCGCAGGACAGGAGCAGCCATCCACGATCATACCAGGAATATCCATGGCGCAAGACGCATCAACTGGCTCCGGCATGTCGCGTCACTCTTCTCTCACGCAGACCTTCCCTGGTGAAATTCGCTCTCCACTTCCGGCGTCTCTCTCTCCACGCATGCCGACGATTCCACCGTTAGACTCATGCCGCTTATTCAACTTCCCGGAACCATTCAGTTGGACGCCTACGCCGTCCACTGCCCAACCGAACTCCACACCTGCGCTCCCGGACATTGGGAGGCTCTCTCTTGGCTTCTCGGGTCCCACCTTTTCCGGCCAGCATGGAGTCGCGCCACTACAACAGAGCAATTCTTTATCTCTGCCAGGTTTTAATCAAGCTCCGACTTTATTATCATCGATGGCATCTCAACTCGCATTTTCTACACCGAATGTTAATAATATTGTTACTACTCGTTTATCTTCGGTTGAAGATTACTTGCCGTGGCGGACTCAGTTTGAGTCTTTTCTAGTATCCCACAGTCTTTTTGGGATGTTAGATGGATCCATTCTGATTCCGCCATCTACTATACTGGATTTGGGTAGGAGAGAAACAGTTAATCCAGACTATCACCATTGGTTAAAAATTGACCAAACAGTCCGCTCTTGGATTTTTGCAACCCTGGCTAGAGATATTCTGATGGATGTTTATAACTTGAAACACTCTCAGCTTATTTGGGATCGGCTTCAACAACGTTTTATGTCTGCTTGTTTTTCTCGATCCATAGAACTTAAACGTTCTTTATCACATATCAAAAAGAAATCTTCACAAACTATGGATCAATATTTGCTGGAAATCAAGATTTTAGCAGAAAATTTAGCGGCCATAAATTCTCCAGTTAGTGACAAGGATTTAATTGAATATGCCGTTCTTGGTTTGGGGCGTGGCTATGAGTCACTTATCACGGCTATCAATTATTTTCCCGGTAATGCTACGTTGGATAATTTACGGCCTATTCTTGAAGCCCAAGAGAAGACGAATGCTTTGTTCGATGCTCAGGAATCTGCACCAGTCCATCAAGCCTTTGCTGCGGCGAATGCTCCAGCAATCCCTGGTGGCCGAGGGGGTGCTCCTCGGGGAGGGGGTGCACCTCGTGGACCTGGTGGCCGCGGGCAGCGCGGTGGTAGGGCTCGCGGCGGACGAGGTCGAGGTGGACGCGGGTATTATCAGCAACAGCAGCAGCCATACGGTACCCCTCAACCGTATGGAAATCAGTATGGACAACAGCCCGCTACCCCACGTGGACCTGCATTTTCTGGAATTCCAGGTTCGGCATTGTGTAATCTCACTTCTGGTAGTAATTGTACTATTTATCCTCCTATTTCTGCTACTCACATTTTCAGTGCAGGTTTTCCATCTGTGGATCAGTCTTATCAGTCTCCTCCACCTCCAGTTGTTTGCCAGTTGTGTTTTTCTCCAGGTCATTCTGCCCTACAGTGCTCTCGTTTTACTGGTTCTTCGACACCTGCTCTTGCTGCCATTCCTACTGGTGAGACCAATGACTCAGTTTGGTACCCTGACTCTGGAGCTTCTGCTCACATGACTCCTCACGAAGGTATTCTCTCTTCTAAAACTACTTACAACGGTACAAATCAAGTGTGTGTCGCTAATGGTACCAAACTGCCCATTTCTCATATTGGTAACTTAAAGCTTCAAACGCTTGGCCGCCCATTAAATCTTAATTCTGTGTATCGTCCCACACATTAAATACAATTTACTTTCTATTCAAAAATTGTGTGCGGACAATGCCTGTCAAGTTATTTTTGATAAAAATTCTTTTCAAAAATTGTGTGCGGATAAATTCATTCTAGAATGTGAAGAATCGAGATGAAAATGTAATACACATTATGTCCGAGAAGCAGTTCGGAAACATGATGTCAACTGGTTATGAAAGTGACTAATAATTATTATATTATTCATTAGTAATTAATAAAATTCGTCTTATTTGTTTTAAAGAAAAACCGTCTTATTTGAGGCTTGGAATTAAAATAATATTAAAGTACGTCGCTTTCAAAATACTGAAACAAACATGCTCGACCTTAATACCCTTCATATATATTCAAATATAGCGTGTTTAAGGACATTCAAATTTTGCAAATGTGCATCGATCAAGTGTTTATAGATTTCAGACAACCAAGATTGAATTGGACTATTTCAAAACAATCATTAAATCCTTATCACATCAACGTAAGAAACTTTTATTTTAATTAAAAATGTGCATCATATTGCAATGCATATCATTATATCCTGAAAGGTGTCTTGAATTGACCACACAGAGTGATTGGTAAATAACTGTGGTTTAAACACAAATTGAGAGCTGATAAAATTTGTGGTCTCTTTTAATTATAAAATCAAATACTACCTCCGTCCCAATTTAGTTAGCCAATTATTTTAATCAAAGCCTCAAATAAGACGGTTTTAATCAAACACTTTGACCAATTATTTTAACTAATATATTTACGAAAAAAAATGATTTTATACTTTTATAATAGTATTTTCAATAAAGAACATTTTCATATATTTTGTATATTTTTAATATTTTTTCTATATAGATATATAATCGGTCAAATTTAGGTACCATTGACTTGAAAAAACAAGTTTGGCTAAGTAAATTGGGACGGAGGGAGTAACTAAAAAGGAGTTGATAGAGTCGTAGAGATGTGAAAAGAAGAGTGCACAACAAGAGTGACCAGAAGCGGACGGGTAGGCCTCGTGCCTAGGGTTTGGAGCGGTGATTATCGATCCTCCGCGGCTTTCTTATCGACGGCTGATCTCTTTCCGGCAAGGTGCAACTTTGGTCTGGGCGAACTCTATTTTCGCAATAGTTCTCTGCTCGGCGGTGCAAAATCTAGGCGGAGGTGTAGGGTCTTCCTCAGGCTCGGCTCTGGTTCATTTGCAAGCAGGAGGAGGCCACAGAATCTCCCAGGGCAGCGTCGGATCTGGTCCTGGAGGAAGACGAAAGAGCTCTCAGTTTGGTAAGTAGGTCCAGATTTGCTGTTTTCCCAAATTCGATGTCGTTTATGTCCAATGGCTTTGAAAGCTACTGTGGTTAGGTTTGGGAGATCTGACTCTCAGATGATTGGGTTGACTATTCTGGCTTTGCTAGTGTTTGAGATGAAAGCTACACCACCTGTGTTTGATCTGGGTGGAATTTTGGCGGTGAGGAGTCCGGTAGAAGAAGCGACTTTGGGATCCAGTTCGGTGCTTGAGGGATCAATGCGGGTGACTCAGGGGTGGGGGACGAAGACAGAACGTGGTTGACTCGTCCCCCTCCGGAACCGCCACCACAGAGGAACCCCAGGACTAGCGTATGGATTTTACTGTCCAACCAGTCGTCAGGCACATCACTGAGAGGCACCGACCGGCAGCTTTGGGGGTTGAATAAGGCAGAGAGCCATGAAGACCTTTTTTATGTTTGCTGTTTTTCCTTTTATTTTGCTCACGTTGTTTTTATCATTATTTTGAACTCTAGTGGTAGGCTGGTGTTTGTTTTTCTTACTTGGTTTGAGATGCTAGTGTTGGTGGAAGTGATAAGGCTTGTTTGGCCGTTAAAAACTTCGAAACTCTCACATGGTTCGCGAATAGTCTCGCTCCTTATGGGGTGGTCTATTCTAAATCTAGCCAGAGAGTGGGAGGGCCTTTGGGCTATGCGGAGCCTCACGAGGAGGTTTGATGTTGCAAGGGGGGAAGTACTCTTAGAGTTTTGATTGAGGAGTTTGGCATTGTAAGGGGAAGGTACGTTGAGAAGTTTGATTGATAATAATATAATCAGTTTCCTTAAAAAAAACTGATTATATGCAAAATCAAACGATTTTATAGTGGATTGGGGTGCATGCATTAATGATTTTAAATATATGATGAGCAAAGTCAGTTATCTCCAAAAATGGGGTGCAAAGTCAAAGTCTCCTGTGTAATTGTTCTTGTTTAATATTTAATAGGATAATAATTGGTCACTATTAGTATTTTGGAATTTTTTGTTAATGATTTTAGTGTATCACTATTAAAGTTGATTTTGTATACGTACTTCATTGGTGTATTTTTTTTTTTGAAAGAAATAGATTTAATTAGCATTAATCAAATCGTTTGCTAAAATAGATACAATAAAAGAAGGAGGGGAATGAAACCAAAATTGCGAATCAGACAAAGAACAAGCCGCCCGATCTAGTAAATGAGCGGCTTATTCGCTGACCGCTTAATATGACTAAAAGAAATGCTCGAGAAAAAAATCGTCAAATCATTGATGTCTTCACGCAATAATCCAATTGAAGAGCAGCTCGATCCGTTCAGTATTTCTGCTATCGCCCCTGTAGAATCGGATTCAACCTCGACCGATGTACCGTCAATATCTTAAGCCTGCTCTGTGCCTCACGTATGCCAAGTAGCTCTGCCATCAACGGAGTCATGCACCCTGGCCATGACTTAGCGGCACCTGCAATGAAGTTACTTCATTTGTGTATAATAATTTGCCATATTGAAATTTCCATTACAACAAAATATAGCTTTTGTAACATACTCAAAATGTTGCAATAAACGCAAACAAATGTCACAATATACTACTTAAGTATAGCAACAGAGTATCAAATATAGCATTTTTAAGTATGTTGCATCGGACTAGTTAAAATAGATGTATTGTCGTAATTTATTATGACATAATTTGTTTATCAATACTATATATTTATGCTACTGATTTTTTTTAGTATGATATAATACGATATACCGATATAGTAACAATATACTACTACCCCCGTCCCCCTAAGATTGGGACAAATGAGAGTGGTGTGTGTAAAAACATTGAATTATATGGTTGATAATGAATTGATAAAGTAAGAATAAAGTATGAATAAATTAAAGCCACACAAACATTATCAAATATGATATGAGACAAATATAGTGAGACAGATGAAAAAGGAAAGATTGAACAATTATAATGGGACGGAGTAAGTGTAGTATTTTGAATTTATTGAAAGTTTTGATACAATAGAAGCATGATATAAAATACTCTATGTTGTACCGAATCACTAAAATTTATACCGAGGGTGAGTATATATTTTGATACGCATTCCTTTTTACTACCACCGCTCTTCTAACATTGGGGCAAGAGAGAATATCACGGTTAGGCCTGTCAACAGGTTGGATACGGGACGGAATTATGAATTTCATGTCTATATCCGTTGAGTAATTTTTTGTCTAGATCCGGACCCATTTACCCTTCGGGTCCTGAACATATGTTCCAGATTTGGGTCCGCCGGTTTTTTATCCGGGCCAGGTATACCCGCAAAAAAAAACTAATTGACATATGCAAACAAATATTATAAATAGAAAAATATTTGTTCATATTAAAAAAATAAAAAATAAGCAAAATGTTTGTTTTCTCCATTAGTCTATACATCCTCAAACCTAATAGAAACAAAATTCTCAAACAAAAAAGGATTAATATCAAGAGGACCTAGAGCCCTAAACTCATTAGGGAAAACAGCATTATAGTGGGTCAACCACAAACAAAGCCTTTAATTATTAAAACATTTTTTTATATTTGATTATTTTCCTTATTTTATGTTTAAATATTTCTATGCATATTGTGTGTGTATAAAATTATAACTATAATTATATCGCCACGGGGCGTGTCCAAAATGGGCCGGAAATTAAAAAATCATATGCGACCCATTTATCTCTGTCATGTAACGGGTTCGGGTCCGGATCCGGGAAATTGTTCTAAATTTAGACACATACCCTCAAATATAAAGCCGGATTCGGATCGGATCCGGATCTAGACCTGACCCATTGGCAAACCTAACCACGGTTATCAAGAAAAGTGGATTTATGCAGTTCATATTAAATTGATAAAGAAAGAATAAAGAAGAATGATTTAAATAAAGTCGCACAAACTTTATCAAATTTGGTATATTAGTGAGATTTTCCGAAAAGATAAATTTAGAGAACTTTAACAGAATGAAAGAGGGAGTACATTATGAGCCCGTTTGGTCCGTTTGGTAGCACCAAAATCAGCTGTTTTGGCTGATTCTGCTGAAATTTATGAAGTTCTGGCCGAAGTAGCTGCATTGACTGATTTAGGAAAAAGACATTTTTTAAATATATTTTATTAATAAAATAAAGGAAAAATTATGTGTAAACATAGCTAAAATGGTCATCTACATTAACTTCATCCAATACAGCCAGAAAAGTAACTTCAACCTTACTTTGTCTACTTATTACACATTTCAGCGCACAAAAAAAGTTGCATGTTTGATAAAAATATTGGTTGATAAACCGAAAAACAGTGTTGCCAAACGAAGTCATAATTTATATACCGAACCCGCCCACCCAAATCATCACTTTCTTGCTGGTTGGAAATACTAGCACTAATGCACCATCACAGAATACGTAAGATTTTAGGTGTACTAAATTAAATTTAATGGGGTGGGGAAGGCCCAACCAATATGCCTGAACGACACGCAATTATTTTGCACATGATATTTATCTTTAGTCTGTCATTTCAAAGTTCATGCTCAAGTGCTCAACTTACAAGAATTAACTTTTTTCTAGATGTATTTTAGTACTAATAATAATTGAAATATTCTTGTCAAAAAAAAATAATAGTAATTGAAATATACTCCGTACATATTTAAAAATTATGTTGGAGCTTCTACTGTAAAATCAAAATCCAATATCATAAAATTTTATTATGTAAAAAAGTGTTTAAAAGAAAGATAGATTCATAGATTACATAAGAAATACTCGTATATTTAAAAAATTGGGAGGACCCGACCAACGCCGTGTTACCCCGATCAATAATTATAAAATTTATAATAATGAGCATACATATAATGTTATATCAAACTAAATTTTAGAAAAATATTTTTCATAATAATTAAGAGTCTATTCAGTAAACCAAATTTTCAACTTATCAATCTTATTAGATAACATGTTTACTAAACATGTAGCTTTTTACTTGGCGAGCTTTATTGTGTAATAATCAAAATAAGTAAAGTTTGAGTTACTTTTGTTAAGGTAGGAGTTACTTTTGTGACTGAATTTATTGATGTTATTATAGAAGATAATTTTAGCTATTTTATGTAATATTGTTTATTAACTTTATCAATAAAATATATTTTAAATATAACTTTTTCATAATTCAAAAGATTTAACTAATTCAGCCACTTCAGTAAAAAATCATAAATTTTTACATATCTAGCTAATTTTAATATTGACAATGAGCCCTACACCAGTAATCATAAAGCTTCACAAAGCATTGCTGGAAATACACGCATAAGATCATATTCTGTAAAACATAATTTTAGTTTCTTATTTTTCAATTGTACCATTTGATTATTTAGTTTATTTTTACATTTTAAATTAATATAGCATAGATTGTTTTCCTGAATATTCCATCAGTTTTCCCAAAAAGGCTTGCCAGTTTTTCATATTTCACCGGCGCAAATTAAAGAGATTTGACGTTTTCTTTTAAAGTAATAAATTTGTGATTAATATTAATGAATAAAGATAAGGTGAGGCTGTTGTAAGAAAACCGCTAAAAGGTTGAATTATTAATTTCCATTTTCCCTTATTATTAATATTATTTCTCTTTCTTTTAAACAAATTTCAGTCACACAACATTACTTTATTATTCTACCTGCAAGTCAAAATTGATCAACATTTATGAGACTGAGAGGGTGTGTATAGCAATACAGAAGTCCAATTTTAATTGTAACTTTTTCAAATGCACATATATGTGACTAACTATATATCTAAGGATGTTTTTACTCGGACTGTAATTTGCCCCAGACCAGACCAGTCCAGACCAGACCAGACCAGTTCAGACCAGACCAGACCAGACTTGGATAGTTATAAAAATACAAAGAAACCAGACCTTACCAGACCAGACCAGACCAGTTCAGACCAGACCAGATCAGACCAGCAAATTATGAATGTGCCTATGCCACTATTGCTGCCGAATATGTCACTCTACGGTTAAAAAAAGTCTGATAACTTTTTGGATAAAATTTTCAAATTACTGAGCTATATTAGAAAATTTTTCAAAAAGTAATAACAACAGGGTTTTTAGTCAAGTCATCAAGGCAGCCAGGGTTGTAGTGACTTTGTTGGCAGCTAGGGTTTCAGTGACTTCATCCCATGGGCGGCTATACTTTCAGTAAAGTCATTGAGGTGATCAATAGAATTGCACTGACTTCGTTGGCGGTTATGGTTTCAATGACTTCATGGGTAGCGTCGGCGGAAGTGCAGATGGCTGCGGCGGCGATAGAGGAGCAGGCGGCTTTGGTGGCAATATAGGTGAAGGTGGCGGCAATCGTCAGGTGGCAAGAAGGTATTGATTAATTATTATATTAATAATAATAATAGAATATCATGTCACAATAATAAGAGCCCGTTTGGTAGCACCAAAATCGGCTGTTTTGGCTGATTCTGCTGAAATTTATGATATTCTGGCTGGAGTGGTTGTTTTGGCTGATTCTGCTGATTTAAGAAAAAAATATTTTAAAAATATATTTTATTAATAAATTAAAGAAAAAATTATATGTAAAAATAGCTAAAATGGTCCTCTACAATAACTTCAGCCAATACAGCCAGAAAAGTAACTCCAACCTTACTTTTTCGGCTTATTACACAATTCAGCGCGCGAAAGTAAAAGTTACGTGTTTGGTGAAAAAGCTGGCTGATAAGCCTGATAAGCCAAAAACAGAGTTCTCCAAACGGGCTCTAAAT